GTGTTTCAAAAGATACCACTAAGATAAATCAGTAGATGGGAATGTAGCTCAGTGGTAGAGTTCTTTTTTTGAGGGGTGGAGTCAGGTGTACCAGGGATTGAACTCAGGGGTACTCAACCACTGAGCCACATCCCCGGCCCCATTTTGTATTTTATTTAGAGACAGGGTCTCACTGAGTTGCTTAGTGCTTCACTTTTGCTGAGGCTGGTTTTGAACCCATGATCCTCTTGCCTCAGCCTCCTGAGCCACTGGGATTATAGGCCGCCCTGCTAGAGTTCTTGTCTAGCATGCACAAGGCCTTGGGTTCAAAATCCCCAGTACAACAAGGGAAAAAATTTGTCTAGGAGAAAATATTTGCAAATCTGATATAATCTACAATGTATGAAAAAAAAAAAAAAACAGCAAGGTGAGGTGGTACACGCCTGTAATCCCAGTGGCTTGGGAGGCTGAAGCAGGAGGATTATGAGTTCAAAACCAGCCTCAGCAAAAGCAAGGCACTAAGCAACTCAGTTGAGACCCTGTTTCTAAATAAAATACAAAATAGGGCTGGGGATGTGGCTCAGTGGTTGAGCGCTGCTGAATTCAATTCCTAGTACCAAAACAAAACAAAATAAAAACAAAAATCTCTTACAACTCAACAAAAAGACAAACCACAATTTAAAAACAACAGATTTTCAGAAACACAGATGTTTATAAGACATGAAAAGATGCCCAACATCATTAGTCATTAGGGAAATGCAAATCAAAATCACGATGTGGTATCACTTCATACCCACTAAACAAAAGATTGACAATTATAAAGTGTTGGTAACATGTGAAGAAACTGACACTTTTCCATTGCTGATGGGATTATGATACACTTTACATTTTGGAGGGTGATGGAAATGCACTAAAATGGGATTGTGGTGATGGTTACAGAGCTCTGTAAAGAATACATCAGGAGGGCTGGGGTTGTGGCTCAGTGGCAGAGGGCTTGTCTAGCATATGTGAGGCACTGAGTTACATCCTTAGCACCGCATAAAAACAAATAAAATAAAGGTATGCTCTTCATCTACAAAAAAAAGAAGGAAGGAAGGAAGGAAGGAAGGAGGAAGAAAAGAATCAGTAAAGCTATTTAAAAGAAAAACTACTGCTAGACTATTTCCAGTGTACAGTACTGGAACAAGTTATACCAGAAGGAAATAATCAGATAAATAAATGAGATATTCTACAAGACAGTTGGCTTACAATCTTATGATAAACGATCAAAATGACAAAGGGAATATTTCAGAGTTAGAAATGAAAGATGTTAACCACTAAACATCATGTGTCAATTTTTATTGGATCTTGGATCATAAAAACAAAGACATTTTGCAAGTAATTAGGAATTTTGAATTTAGACTGAATGCCAGACATTATGAAGTTATTACAGATTTTTATGTTAATAGTATTGTTCAGTTAGAGAATAAGACGTATACTGAAATAGGGATAAAGTATGATATGTCTGCAACTTGTTCTCCAATGGTTCAACAAAAATAAATGTTATGTTTATGTATGTATATAAATATATACGTATTATAGTGGAAAAATGTAAATAAGTGAAAAGCATTGAAGAATTCATCTTATTTCTTCAAACTTTTCTATACTTCCAAAATTTTTAATAATAAAAGTAGGGTAATACTTTTAGTCCTGCATATCAGAAATAATATTTTAAGACATATAAAAATTTTTTTAGGGGGAGACTTGGGTTTGAGCACAGAGGAGTTTTACCACTGAGTTACATCCCCAGTTCTCTTTTCATTTTAAGACCGGGTCTAAGTTACTTAGGGCCTTACTAAGTTGCTAAGGTTGGCCTCAAACTTGAGATCCTTCTGTCTCAGCCTCCTGAGTCATGAGATTTAAGAGACATAATTTATAACAGCATTCAAACATATGGAGCACTGAGGGATATACATAACAAAAGATATACAAGACCTCTGGTGATTGTAAAATTTTATTAAGATATTAAAAAATTTAAATAGAAATATATCATGTTGATGAATTAGAAGCCCTACTATAATGATATATATTCTCCTGAAAATGGCTTACGAATTCATTGCAACTGCAATCAATGTTTCCATGTGTTTAGTTTGTTATTTGGGGGTGGAAATGGATAAGTTTAAAATGTATATGGAAAAATCAAAGAACCAAGAAGAACCACAAGCTCTTAAAGAATAATAAGGTGAAAGGATTTGCTCTACTATATAACAAAACTTTTCTAAAGGATAGAGTACTGAAGATAGTGTATGTATTTTGACATAGACCAATATAATAAAACAAAAGCCCAAAAATAAATTCAAGGGTAAACTGACACTGTACAAGAAAGCACGTCAAAGTCACACAGAGTTTTCAACAAACACTTTTCAATAAACAGTGCTGGCACAACAGACTGGACGTATAAAGATGCCAAACAATTACCTCATATTGCATGCCAAAGACAGTTCCCAGGTAGATGAAACCTAAATGGGAGAGGCAAACTGTAAAGCATTTAGCAAAAAAAGTTACTATATTTTTGACCTAGAAAGAGAATATTTTTTAAAATAAGAAATGCAAAACAAATTAACCATACTGAATAATGTTGATATATTTGAACATATTCAAATTAAAATGTTAATGTATCAAAAAACATTGTGAAAACAAGCCACCAAGTGAGAAAATATTCTGTAACACAAACAACTCAAAGTAGTAACCAGAATATGTAAATTAATGAGAAAAATGGGTTAAAAGTATATTTTAACATATCTACCCAAGATGAAATTCAAATGGCCAATAAACATGAAAGATGTTCGACCTCATTTGACATATGAAAATGCTAATTAAAAACAAGATACCATTATACATCTACTTTTTTTGGTAAAAATAAAAAAGCCATTATACCCTTGGGAACATGTAAATTAGTACAAGAATCTTTGGAAAACAGTCTAACACGATCTAGTAAAATTAAAAATATAATAAGCCTGGTAACTCTGTGGTTCCACTCTTAAGCATCTTATCTTTTTAAGATGCATAGTCCAGAATACATGTTCACAATATCCATAGCAGCACTGTCTGTAATCCCCAAACTAGAAAAATCCAAATGTCCATCAAGAGTAAAATGAAAAATAAATATAGCTAAACAATGAAATAAACTATAGCTACACACAATGACATGAATCCTACAAACATAATATTTAGCAAAATAAATTTTAAAGGTTTACAATATAATTTGATTTATACAAATTTCAACTATAGGAATATATTGTTTAGGAATATACATGGGTGGTAAAAGTATAAAGAAAAGCAAAGAAATAAAGAGTATGGATGGTTTTAAAGTAGAGAGAAAGAGTTAGAGAGGAGCATATGGAAGAACTCCTATGGCTGGAAACGTTCTGTTTCTTGACCTGGTTAATCATATGGAGTTCTTTTTACGATTGCTTAAAATATGCATATACATGTTTCTTTCTATATATTCCTTAACAAGAAAATATACAAATGACCAGTAAATATGAAAAGACATTCAATCCCACTAGTAATTAGGAAAACAAAAATTAAAACAACAAGGATCACACCTGCCACTGGTTTTCCTAAGAATTAGGCATTCTCATACTCTTCTTATAGGAAAGTAAATTAGGGGCTGGGGTTGTGGCTCAGTGGTAGAGCGCTTGCCTAGCATGCATGAGGCACTGGGTTCGATTCTCAGCACCACATACACATAAATAAAATAAAGGTCCATCAACAACTAAAAAATATTAAAAAAAGAAAGTAAATTAATAAAAGCTTTTTGAAGAATAATGTGGTATTATGTACAAAAATATAAAAATTATCTTGGACTAGGAAATGTAGCATGTATGAGGCCCCGGGTTTGATCCCCAGTATCACAAAAACTCTCATTTGTCTTGTGAATTTTCCATTTCCATTCTGTATCCTAATGAAATAATAACATATATCCTTAGTATATTCATACAAAAATGTTTTCCATTCACTTCAGCATTGTTTGCAATAGTGAAGAAAATGAATAAGTATCAATAATGTAATATTTACCAAATTTTTCATAATTCATAAAATGAAACACTATGCAGCTGTTAACATACATTTTATGAACTGACATGGAAAGAGTTCAGATGTACTAAGTAAATAAAAGTATCAGAATAACATATACAGCATAATTCTGGTTTTAAAAATATAAATATGTACATATACTTATGTAAGTGTGGAAAACAGACTACAAATACATAATTTGTTAGCAATTATTAACTCTAGGGCAGGAAGTGGGGCAGGGTAAAGAGGGCACTTTCACCTCTTATTCTATACACACATATATGTAATTATACATCCATAGACTATTTGTATATTTTTAATGAGTAGTATAGCAAAACAATTGTATTTGTTCCATTCTAAAGACACTAATCTAATACACTGGAAAGAACTTTCTTTCAAAGCTAGTTGTTTTGATCCTGGAAGGACTTGAGAAAGCTTATAGTTGCAGTCCCAGGGCTGTCAGTCATCAACTGATGAATGTTGCATAGGATACTAAGTAACCTGGTCCATCTCCAGGCTCACCCCTTGAAAATATTTGCTTACATTCTCTTACTTACATTGCTTATGGGCAATAGCAATGTCTTCTCAAAACACTGTTAAGAGTAAATAAATTCTAAGGCTACACATCAAATTACATCCATAGCAAAGTATAGATGTAGCTATCAAGATGTGTGTTTAGATCCAAATTAGTAATCACACCCTTGGTGAGTGACTTTTGGATGAAATAAGCTTTTATTGGACTGCTAAGTAAGGAGCTAGATACCACCAAATCACCACATAAAAAAAGAGCTTTTCTTTTTCTTGCCTCCCCTCATTCCACCCTATCCCTTTAGGAAACCAAATTGTCTATTTCCTATAAAGATGTGTAAGAGGGTAAACCTGACCTTGAGTTGTTTAAAATCAGTAGTGAATGAGTATAAAAAGCACTATCAGTATATTTATGAAGGAAAATCCAACTACATTCATACATTTTGGTGTGCTTTTATTTTTTATTGGAATCATACCATATGAAGGGAAATTGTCAAAGTGTCCTTTACTCTTTCAAAAGCTTGACCTTTGCTCTGCTGTGTCAGAGGAAAGCAAACCTAAACAAGTAATGCTGGAAACCACCCTGTTTCCATATGCACACCGACAGGAGAAGAGCTGTCCCAGAAATGCTTGTTGATTAACAGAGGAAGATCACACACACATTAAATATAAATGGAAACACATGAGCACACCAAGTCATTAGCTTGATCCTCTGGCATCCACTAGCATGCGCCTTTCCAAAGTATTACTTATTTGGTGATGGGTCTCATTATGCCTTTTATCAGCAAATACCTTCTTATTCCAGAACGGAAAACAAACTAGGAATTAAATACATCCAATATTGATGCTTTATTTCCATAAGTCACCAATAAGAGAATGAATTTAATTTTAATACATTGATTCTTATGTGATTCTTAATAAAACACTTTCAAAACATTCTGTACATTTCAAGCCACTCAGAACTGCATTACATTTCTATAAATGTGATTTGTTCGGATGAGGTGCCAAGATGTCTCTGTACAAAGATGTACAATATGTACAGTCACTGTAAGTACAAGCTGTGCAAAGCAGAGTCTAAAACACTAATTCATGCCAAGGCTTAGAAAACATGTCAACACATAAGACTAACGCTTATAACTGCATTGTGGTTTTTTCCCTGGGCAGATGATTACTTTATAAACAAATATATGTATATATATATCATATAGAAAGAATAGTTTGACTTCCCAGCTCAGTCAGCACCATGCAGCTGACTGGATACACTACAGGGCTGCTCTCCTAGGCCTCTTTTTTCGGGTGCCATTTTGCCATTCTTGACAGTGTCTCATCACTGAGCTGTTACCACTGCTGCCTTTGGCTGAACCACTGCAACAGTAGGAGACTTAAATTTGGGGAGATAAAGGCCAAACTTGTTTTCAATTCCAGCAAAAGTGGCTGTGGCAAGTCTGTATCCACCAATGTGATCAGGATTGGCAGGAGGAAGGTCTGCGATGCGGGACTTAGGTGTTGGTTCTGAGCCAGAAGGTTTGCTGTTGACAGGAAAAAGTCAATGGTTAGTGTGCTCAAGATTGACAAGGGTGGGGCTAAGGATATAGTTCAGTTGGTAGAGTGCCTGCCTCACATGCACAAGGCCCTGTGTTCAATCCCTGGTACCACAAAAAAAAAAAAAAAAAAAAAAAGATTGACAAGGGTGGTTAAAAGTGAACATTTTCAGTCTGACCCACATGCCAAGAAGTTTGTTTGTTTCAACCATTTCCATGTCATCTATGTTGCATTAGCCATGATTTATAGCACTTTGGAAGCTCTACATGCACATATTTGAAGAGAATGGTCTCAATTTCAATGCTTATATACGTATATAAATAGATGACCAAAAAAAATATATTTTTCCATTTCCTAAATTTTTTTTCTACAGTAAGCATATGTGAAACTAATCATAAAAGCATACATTTTTCTTTATTTTGGCATAGTTTAAAATAGTAGCTTAATAGTAGCTCATAAATGTCAAAAAGTTAAAGAGAAACAGCCAGTTCTTTTTAAGATTCAGGCTTTTCTATGATTTCATAGAATCTTAATATTTGTATGATATAATTTGAAGGTTGTTATTCTTATTCTTTTTTGTTTGGGTCCCTCCACTTCCTGGTTCATCAGCTAATTCCCTACTTAACCTCTGAGGAAGAGTCAGGTTCATAGTTTGCTATGAGCATTCAGAAACAGTATTTGGTCTTCTGCTGAAAAGCTGATAATTGCTTGCTTTGGACAAAACTTCCCCACCCAGCAAATGTAACAAGTAACTGCTCTTCTCCCCAGGGTAAGCTTCAAGTGTCCCAATTTTTTTGCCTATATCCTACCAATGATTATACCCACAGGCATAACCTCTTTTTGAACCTGCTAGGGGACAGGGGCAGGTTGACAGTATATTAGCTCTAGGAAGACCTATAACTATCTAATAATAAATAATGGTGAATATGAAATATTAGAGGTGCAAAAGAGCTTGGGTATTTGGCAGAAAATTCACAAAAGTGTTAATAGTACACATTTATATCACTTCTGCTGGAAAGGCCATATAATACAATTCACATTGAAGGACTTAACTCCATAAAGTTCCAAACTTGCTTACACAAAAACAGATGATCATTCACAAAGCATTTTCATTTGCTGCCTCCCTAAACTTTCCCCAAATAGCTGATTATTATGTGCATTACATCATTCTGCCAAGGTCTTACCTCTTAACACTGAAGCTTTTTAAGCTGACTATTTAAAATGTATTGGTCTAGCTGGGTGCAGTGGCATGGCTTGGGAGGCTGAAGCAGGAGGACTACGAATTCAAAGCCAGCCTCAGCAAAAGTGGGGCACTAAGCAACTCAGTAAGACCCTGTCTCTAAATAAAATACAAAATAGGGCTGGGGATGTGTCTCAGTGGTTGAGTGCCCCCAAGTTCAATTCCTAATACTCAAAAATTAAAAAGTAAAAAAATAAAATGTGGGGCTGGTATTGTGGCTCAGTGGTAGAGCACTTGCCTCGCATGCTTGAGGCCCTGGGTTTGATCCTAAGGACCACATACAAATAAATACATAAAATTAAAGATATTAAAAATAAATAAATAAATAAAATGCATTGGTCTTAACAAATTCTTTCTTACTGGTTTTCTGAATTCCAAAATGTCTTTGTAAACAGAACAAACATTTGTTTTGGTTTTGGTGATTTCTTTGTAAAATAGTTGAGCAGCTGCACTTACAGGCCTCCAAAATCAATGTAAAACCACCGCTGAAGAAGTTCGTAGGTGACCAAAGTAACCCCAAACTGGGGAGACGATCGAAACACTCGAGCTGAAAAAGAGGAGTGGGGTAGGCTTAAAACCATAACAACTGTGGCAAAGACAATCACTGAGTAACAAGGGGCAAGACAGTAAAGCCAATTAGCTGTTCTACCTGCAGTCCCTTTCCAAAACGCTGAGGGCCCTTCTTCCCGAAGTATCTTTCTGAAACAGTCAATGACACCACTGTATGTCGTCTGGCCAGCACGGGCAGCCACTTGCAGTCTTGTCTTGATGACATCAGCAGGGGTCACCAGAGAAGCAGCAGGCACACCTTTCAGGAGAGACATATTTAACTCATGCATAAAAGGACAGAAATACTGCTGACATCTAAACCATACAATCTGCAACTTTAACCATGTATGAGGAACTCAAAGCTCCTTAAGTAGATGTCTAGGCACTAATAGAAAAAGGGACGTCTAGGAACCTATTAGCTGCTACTGTATGATCCAGGAAAAATACTTTTTCTTTCTGAATGAAGAAAATCATTGTACATTGCATGATCCTAAAGAACTGTGAAAAGAAAAAAATGCAACAATAGTAACAGGATTATTCCCAAGTGTTCCCTTTCAGTTTCAATTATTTTATCTCCTTTTTTCCTCAAATGTGATCATTTTATGTACAAAATATAAGGATAATGTCAATTTAAGGAGCTGCTGAATGTATCTGACACCCAACTATGGTGTTTTTTGCTGAATCTTGTCAACTATACTGTATGAGGTAAATTGCAATACTAATAAGTACTGACTCACCTATTGGAGGGTGAGCTAACTTGAGAGTCTCCAGCTAACTTGAGAGTTGAATAACTCTTTTCAGACAGACTTACATGACAGGAATCATTACAACTGGAGCAAAAGGAGGCCAGGTGACCAGTTAAGGAACAACAGGGAAGCTGATCATCAAAAGGCTTTGTATCTATCTCCTATGCCTGAGCTCCCTGGAGTCATATTGAGATTGATCATCAGCAGGACACACAAGATGGATTTCACAACCCACTTTTTACTTATAAAACAAAACAGGACACAGGAGCGACATAACATTCCCCAAGGGGAAGAAATCCAATTTGGCCTAAATATTACTGTATCATCACTAGGCAGAAGGAATGGGTGGCCTTATGGGGGCTCTGTTAAGGAACGATGCAAATACCTCCACACAGGTGCACCCTATTCACATGAAACTAGGTAAATTGCCTCCTTTAGGAGACAGGATTTCAAATGTTCTCAGTGCCCACCAGCAAAGCTTTACTGGTAAAAATTAGAAAAAATCATATCTCATTCTGAAAACACTTCAAATGTCTATGGGCAAGAAGATGGTGCTGAGTTGGAATATGTTTACTTAGTTCAATCAACCACTGGCAAATTCCTGTCCATGATCATAATGTTCTCTGCCTGTTTTTTCCTGCTGATTGGAAAGTACAAGGAAAAACTTAGAGGGAAAATGCTGGCCCCCATTTAAGAAGGGGCGATTGGCGCATATAAGAAAGGAGCCCGATGAACACTTCAGTGCCAAGACTGAGCTAACTTTTAATGTTCAACTAACCAAAATTACTAATGGCAAAGAAAAGGGATTTGCTGAACCCAAAATTATGACTCAAAATTCCCAGAGGGAGTTTCTAAATCATCACAAGCCATCCTCTGCCATTATAGGCAAGAATAACAACATGTCCATCTCCACACTCAGAACACACTGAGCACACCATAATTCTGGACATGCTCAGGCTATCCTGCTTTATAGCCAAAGCTACCAGAAAAGAATAAACCTGGCACCTGAGAACCAAACAGGGTACCTGAGCCCAGCTGGTCAGAGCCACATGGAGCTCTATAATGGCTTATTGCTGGCTATATGGAAAACAAATACATGCCCTTTCCTTCCTCTGTCATTTCTTGAGTGTTGGTACAGCCAAGGATGCCTGGTTCTCCCTTCTGTTCCAAGTTAGCTCCTTCCTAACTCAAGAGTAAGGCTAGCCAGGCACAGTGATGCACACCTGTAATACCAGTGGCTCAGGAGGCTGACACAAGAGAATATCAAGTTTAAAGCCAGCCTCAGCAATTTAGCAGGGCTCTGTCTCAAAACAAAAAATAAAAAGAAATGGGGATATAGCTTACTAGTTAAATACTGCTGGGTTCAATCACCAGTACAAAAAAAAAAAGTAAGGCTGTACCTGTGAGATCAGAAGGAAAGGTCTTAGACTCTTCTTTCAAATGGAATCTCTTCTGTGCCTACTTTGGTATTTTATACTAGATGAAAATTTTCATTCATTCTACTGACACTTATTGAGCTCCTATTATTATTACTATGTTGGCTATATAGAAGGCAAAGATGAACAGAATGAAACTCCTATCCTAAAGCAGTACTTAGCCTAGTACAGATTATAAAACATAGAAACAACTATGAACAAAAGAAAAATCCCAGAAACTGAGGAAGCAGAGGCAGGAAGATCCCAAGTTCAAAGGCAGCCTCAGCAATTTTGCAAGGCCCTAAGCAACTTAGTGAAACCCTATTTCAAAATAAAACATAAGAAAGGGCTGGAAATGTGGCTCAGTGGTAAAGTGCCCCTGGGTTCAATTCCTGGTACAAAAAAAAAAAAAAAAAAAAAAGACAAGAGACAAAAAGTTAAGGATCTTGATGAAAATCAATGTCAGGAAGAATAGGGACAGCTTCACAAAGAGAACTCAATTTTGGGCCAAATCACATAAACTCCAATATATAGTGCTAGGAAGTAAGGGCATGCAAGACCTGTGCATCAGCATGGGGTGTAACAAAGCAGCTGATTTGATGAGAACTTTTCCACCTTAATGCTTAGCTTGGCGGCACCCAAGGTTTCAGGGGAGAGGGAGACTAAGAAACATGTTAATGATGAAAGCCCAATTTAGATGGGCAGATCTAATTTGGCTCCAAGTTGCTAAGCTGCATTAAGCTGTTTATCCACATTATGCAAATGTAATTAACTCTCATCAGAATTACAGCACATCCCACAAAGGAGAAAAGGCAATCATATTTAACTAAGTCAGATATAAACAATAACTTTTCTAAAAAGAAAGGGGGAAAGTACATAGAGATTCTGTACTTCTCAAAGACAATGGGAGAATTCTTTGGGTTAAAATATTCTGTAGTTACCTGCCATGGCTCCAGCTGCAAGGAGATTTAAACCTTTCACGTGTCCATTTTCATCAGCCAGAAGTAGTTTGCAATGAGCATAAACAGGAAAATAGATTGCAGAGAAGGGAATGTCTCGGAGGAAACACGCTTTGGCACCCTGTCACAGAGTCAGGAAATAGTACAAAACAGTGTGTAAACAGGGTGTGAATGCTCAAATGGGATCCAGAGGGCTTTCAGCCTGATGTGTCCCTCAAACAGTATTAGAACTGATGTGGAAGGGAAATGGGGGTGGGAGAGATGAATGTAAGCACAGAACTTAATGGAGTGGATCCTAGAGTCCTAGACTTAATAACTGGGCAATGATAGTATTCTCACAAACAAGACTTTTCTGGTATTTCTAATAGATTCACATTTTTTTTTAAATTAATCAATTTGATTTTTGTTGTGGTAAAAATACACAGGATGAGATCTACCCTCTTAAATTTATGAGCATATAGTACAATATTAATTACAAGCATAGGGCTCTAGAAATCTTTATAACTTATTAATGTTGGCATAACTGAAAAGTTATATCATTTAATTACATTCAATTTTTTGAGATTAATAAAAATTTAATTCTCAAACCTCCAGGTTGCTTGTTTTATTTGGCTTTGGAAGGGGAAGAAAGTTGAGGGCAGAGTTGTAGGGGAGGGTTTAGACTTTAAATTCCAAGATTAATAGCTTAATTCCTAAGTAATTAGTAAAGATAGCCCAAAAAGACTATCAAATTATCAATTTGATCTCTATCAGTTTAAGAGTTCTTTCCATGCAAGGTAAAAGGCTACATAGGCAGGGGTGAGAGTAACTATTCTAAGGAATTTTTCCCTCTTTATTATCAATGTGCTAACTAGAAGTGGATTAGGGGAAACCCAGACAAATATTTTAGCAGGAGGTTTCCATGAGAGTAGAAAAAGTGATAGCTTGTCCCAGTGACTAAGGTCACAATGACCACCTTTCTCAACTTTGCCCACAGCAATCCAGCACTTGTTCCTAAGGAAAAGGCAAGCTAAATGGAAAAAAAAAAAAAAAAAAAAATTCAAGGACTCTAAAGGATAATACAGAGAGAAAAAATATTCATAAATTCAGCTCTGAAAGGGAATTCTAAAAAGAATGGAAATTAGAGGTGGACAGGGAGGAGCAAAGTGTGCAAAGACTCTCTCGAGATAAGCATCATTGTTTGCTGGTCTCCAGAGAACCCTGTAGCTGTGTGATTCTAATCTAGAGAATGTCTAATTTCTAATTTTCAGCTACTGAAGCAAATTTACACATTCCTACAATGATGGATCTATAAATAAATTGGATGCTGTGGAAACACAATTGCCTAGAGTGGCTAAATTTATGTATTCCTCCTTATACGAGGCAAAGGAATGGAAAGAAATACTCTTCCTTGTTTAAGAAAAATAATAGCTTCTGCTCCATTACATCTGATCTGTAATGATGGGAGTAAGTATACCTGCAGGGAAGGATCTGTTGACTGGCATTTTGCTAAAGTATAATACACTCTTTTTTTTAATGGAATTCATTATTGACAAATCCTACCACTTAACTTCTTAAAGATCTGAATCCTACCAAACTCTACTACTGTTTGACTGTGGTCAAATTATTAAGACAAAGAGAAGCTCCTATTGGGAGGATAACAATAGAGATAACTTAGATTCAAAATAAAGACTATTTTGAAGTTCTAAACCCCCAGCAAAGAGAATACCAAAGAAACTTCCCAAGCCCCCATGGAATTAAAGGCTGAGAGCCTGAAGCCAGCAGGTCTGCAGTGCAGGCCTCCCTGCCAGAGGCTTCACAAAAGCTGCAGATGACAACAGGAGAATGTGCTTGTGTATCCCACTGCCTTTAATAGCAGCGTCCTGATTTTTTCTTTTTGTTTGATTTTCTACTCCATGGACAACCCTGCTGGACAAGATTGCTTTTCAAACTAGTGGGGACGAAGTCTGGTTTTCACATTCTTTCACATTTATATTGAGTACATTACAACTTCTTTGCTGAGCTAGCCCAAGGGAATCAACCCACCTTATACAGACCAAAAAGTCCCAAGTCCCGTAGCACATTCAGGGCACTGACTCTGGGTCCTGTGGTGATCTCTCCGGCCACCTGCAGGCGAATCTTCACTATCTCCAGTGGGTTTGTAAAGATGACCTGAGAACCCCCAGCCTGCAGACAAAGGAGAAGAGACAGAGGCAATTCCACATCAGAGCCAGAGTGTCGATGAAAATAAGAAAAAACTAGGAAACTTCCATTTCTCCTTCCCTCCCTCCCCCCCCACACACACACCTTTACACCTCCCTCTTATTCATTGGAAAAAGATGCTTTAGCTGACGCTTTAGCTGATGCTCTGAGAGATGGTCCCTGTCACAGGTCAACCTATGTCTGGGTTTGTTTCTATTTAAAATGTCAAGATTGTTCCTCAGACCAATCTTAACCAAGATAAACCCAGCCATATTAAAAACAGCAAAACTAATAAGCCTAGTTTGGAAAACAAATGTGAAGGCAGATGTGGCAGTAGGGTACCTACCCAGTGAAAGGGTAAAATATGACAAAAGACTGGTATCTTTTATATAATGGAGCTATAACCCAGATCTATAATGTTTCTTAGAAAGCATTCCCTTAGCCTAGCCACTTGCTTCTACTTCCTTGGATTGTAGAACAATTAACAACACTTTTGCCCCTCAGAAGTATCTCAAGTTTGAGAGAGGGAAGTCTCCAATTCAAATTCTAAAATAGATGAGCCTGAGAGAACTCTAAGACAGATAGACAGATAGCTAGCTATCCCACACAAAAGGAGGAAATTTAGAAAGATATATTTCAGTATCATTTCAGACAAAACCAGAAAAACTCTTGTATGAAGAGCTAAGAAATGGAACATCTATCTAGTTACCATGAGTACAACACCCTCAGATCAAAGCCACATTCCATACTCTTAGTGGTGAGTGATAAAAGATTTGAATTTGGATAATCATAGTGTATTTGCATCTGAAATTTGTTAACTAGTAAAGAAAAAAAGAATGTTTAAAATAAATACTACCAACTCCTTTTTGACATCTGTAAGAAAGAAAAGATGTGTAGCTATGGATACATAAAAATAAATAAAATATATATTATCTCTTTCCATGAAGTGAAAAAATCCCATTTATACACTGTCATCTTAAACTGTGGTTGTTTACATTATATATATAATCATAACTCTATTCATACAATATTCATAATCATATTCATATAATCATTAAGTAATCATAACAACTGCAATGCATGTACCATGTGAAATATGAAATGTGTGCCTCATTGGGGGCACTGTGATTCCATGGATATCAAAATGCTACAAACAATACCCAAAAACACTACACAGGCAACCTCAATAGCATATCCATGCTTTAACTTCACAACAACAGTCCTGCTCAGTTATGTAAAACCCACAACCCTTTCCAAAGAGCAGCAATGTTGTGTTGCTTGGCGCATTTTCCAAACCACTCTGGGGCTACAAAACCCCACAGCTACACAAGTTCCATTTGACCATTTCCTCTTGTCATAATCCACAACTGCCAACACTAACACTAGATCCTTTCCTCTTTCCTGGATTCCCCAGGGCCTAAATCCCTCTTTTGTCTACCAAACAAGGAATGCAGCGATTTGAGGGCACACTTGCACACACTCTCCTGCAGGAACACTGTTTCCTGTAACTCCCCGACTCAAAGCAATTCAGACCACTGGCACACAGGTCCCCCAACAATGTACTGACCCAGTTTTATATGTTGATATGCCTGCATTTCTCTCTCTTTTAATCTGTTGCACTGCAGGCAGAAGGGAGCATATCAATGTTTGAATCTAAGCAAACAATACTTTCAAAAGGATTGCTGAGGGAAAAATTATGTTAAACTGATAATCCAAGTAATTACTCCTGTAGCTAGTATTAAAGACCAAACCAATTGGAAAAGTTTACTACTTCCCTGAAATCTTTTGTTTAAATAATTGTTGCAAAGACTATCTTTGGGAAATGTGTTTTATATTCCAAGCAGATTTAAAAAAAAGAAGAAGAATAGAACAGGACTACAAATTTTAATCATAATCCCCCAAATTTGCTACCATCAGACAGTGTCAGCCCTAGGTGCTAAGTGTTATATGTGAACATTTTGTTTAAATAAATACAAAGTTCTTTCATGCTTTTAATTATTAGTAAATTATAATATCCGGCAGAGTAGGGGAAGTACAATCTGCATTCCCCAACTCCAAGTTCCCTCTCATCCCACCTCCCTTCTACCATGGCCACTTTTGGAAAAAAATGCCAGTTTATTAAGATTTGTTCTTCTTTAACAATTCTTCATATTTCTTTCCATCTGTACAAATAACAAACTATCTACTAAAATTCTACTAAAACAGTACAATAGAGAGGAGGTGACAACATTTTCAAATACATTCCCCTTAATTGTTATATGTTTTAAAAGTTAGTTACCTTACAGTAAGATACAAAAATGCATTGGACATGAACACAAAACTAAACTGATATGCATTTATAAACATACCTAACCTGGCAAGGGAACATACAAACAATGAAACGATGACACATTATAGCAAGGCATACGACTATAGTTTATTTCTTACCTACTTATTCTACTGTACTAGAAAGAGCAAAACTTCCAGCAATTATGTAGTTTGTATATATTTAAAAACCAATAAACATTTTTAAAAAACCTTATGATAAGCCTAGAAACATGTAAGTAAATACTATCCAGGAACACTGAATAAATTTAGACTAAATAAATAATAGTTTAGACTGACGACTGCTATATGTCTAAAACTTTGGATGTTTATATCATTTAAAGGGCAAATATGCACTGTCCTTTTAAAAACTTTGATGTTGACCACTATCTTAAACATATTAAACTGGAGATAGGGGGAGGGGCAATAAAATCTGAATTAGTTTATTATACTGGTAAGTAACTAAGCAACATAAAGATTATGATGTTATCATACCCTTCAACTGAATCTTCTCCCTCTGAGAAACAAATACATTTCCTCTATTCTAAAACTCTGCTAATTTTAAGTGATAGCATTAAGAGAATAACAACTTTTCAAAGGAAAAAAGCACTGCTTACAAATTATACATTTAATGTATAGAATTTCATGAACATTGTAAATTTTCAATGAAAAAAAATAGTACCTGTATTTATACAAATATGATGTTTGCTAATGTTTTGTTTTGTTGTGCTGGGAATTGAACTCAGGGGCACTGTACCACTGAGCTATATTCCAGACATCTTTATTTTGAGACTGTCTCATGAAGTTGTCCAGGCTGGTCTGAAGCTTGCAATTTCCTGCCTCAATTTCCCAAATAGCTGGGATAACAGTTATGCACCACCATGCCAATTTGTTTGCAATTTTATTTTTATTATGTAAGTGCACATGTATTTATTTAGTGTGTGTGTGTGTGTGTGTGTGTGTGAGGGGGCAGGGGGTATATAGGAGGATGGGTGTTCACGGATGATAGGCAAGTGCTCTACCACTGAGCCACAAACCCAGTTTGTTTGCTAATTTTAATAAGAACAAAATTGAACTGAAAAAATTCAAATGCTCAATAGAAAACAGTTAAATAGAAGCAAATTATATACTTTTAATAAAGCAATGCAAGTTGCCATTAAATCATGACAAATTCCATAAACAGAATGAAAAATATTAGCTACACATTTGATCACAAATATGTCAAAATATTTTACTTAAGTTTACCAAAATCAAAGTGAGTTAAGGATTAAAACATTAGTTGTATATTAGAAAGAGAAACTGAAGAACTGGAAGAAAAAAATTAATAGCATACCTTGTTGCACCTTTTAAATTCTGGAATAATACGAATGTATAAACTACTCAAAAATGACAAGAGAGAGAACCAGTCTTGGGTTTCTTTACAGACTAAGTCCTCCTTCATACATTCCTCCTCACAGCAAATTTGACAATTTTTATAGTTTAAATCTATTTTTTAGCTGGTTGACATTAGTCATCTGTGGATTCAAACTTTAAAAAGCATACACACACACGCACGCGTGCGTACACACACCAACACACACTAAAAAAAAAAACACTAACCAAATATAGCTAATTATTGGAAATAACAGACATTGAGATACATAAAATTTAGCCAGGCATGGTGGCACATAGCTGTAATGCCAGCTACTTGGGAAGCTAAGACAGGAGAATCACAAATATAAGGCCAGCTTGTACAATTTAGTGAGATCCTGTTTCAAAATTTTTTAAATGTAAAAAAAGTAATGAGAGTCAGGGCTACTGGGAATGTAGCTTAGTGGTAAAGATCTTCTTGCCTGTTAGGCCTTAGGCCCTGGTTCCAATTCCCAACACAGCAAAACAAAAAACAAACAAAGATGTATATTGTGTATACTGTGGATGGTTTATAATAAACCATCAACAATATACAACTACATAGATTTAAATGGACATTGCCAGATTTGACATCTTGCTGCTTCTGATGATTTACATTACATAACATGCCATATCTTTGGTGAATTTTTTCACTCACCTCATCACCAAATTCAGCTTCTAACCCTGTAATCCGTAAGTTTTCCTCAGCAAATCTGCTGCTTAGGGGGCTGGGAGCACAGCTTACTAGAGGAATGTTTGAGTAGCATGCATAAGGCCCTGGGTTTCATCCCTGATGTGGGGGCAGAAGAGATCTGCTACTTATTTTTCTTAAAGAAATGGAAACACTAATATTGAAACATACTTAGACACTTTTATTTTTCAGTACTGTCATTTTGTTGTAGTTGTTCTAAAACTGAATTAAAAAGACAAAGGGGAATAAATCCCATTTAGAATAAGGGTCACTATTATGTGACAAAAATGGAAAGAATGTACATTTAATCTTATGTCACACCATTTTTTAATGAGAAAATAAACCAACTAAAGTTAGCAGGAAAAGTTAGTGGGGAAAGGATGTGATATATTAAAGTGTCACTGGCCTCCAATGTGCCCAAGGCTGAGGATTTGGCATAGTTACATACATAGGATTTGGCCAGTTCAACCTTCTGCCCTCACAATCCTACCCCAGGGGCAGGGTCCACAAAGAGTATGGACTGGGCCCTGTTTATCCAAGTCCCTTGCTTCTGGCTTTCTTTGATCTCTTGTCTCTGTAGTTTAGAACCCTTTCCCTCCAA